GCGTGTATGCAGAGTCGCGGCTCTGCGTGCATGCGAGTCGCGGCTCTGCGTGTGTGCAGAGTCACGGCTCTGCGTGTATGCAGAGTCGCGGCTCTGCGTGCATGCGAGTCGCGGCTCTGCGTGTATGCCGAGTCGCGGCTCTGCGTGTATGCCGAGTCGCGGCTCTGCGTGTATGCTCTCTGCGTGTATGCAGAGTCGCGGCTCTGCGTGTATGCCGAGTCGCGGCTCTGCGTGTATGCCGAGTCGCGGCTCTGCGTGTATGCAGAGTCGCGACTCTGCGTGTTTGCAGAGTCGCGACTCTGCGTGTATGCAGAGTCGTGACTCTGCGTGTATGCAGAGTCGTTATTCTGTTTGTTCAGAAGCCCCGCGCCTCGGAAAGAACACGTGATCTTTTTGAACAGCGGGGACAGTAGTCATGATCACAATGTTCCTCGAGCTGCAATTGTTCGATGCTCTGGCTTTCAGTAATTCAAAAGTTATTCCAATTGAATCTTACATAATTACAGGTTGTTTCTAAATAGCTGTTCATTTAAGATTTCGTTGATTTAACATACCATCAGCCGTTTTGCTCACTCATCACTGAAAATATAATTTAATTCTTGCATGGATACGTAATTTAACGTATTTGAAGTGTACCTGACACCTCATGTTCCACATTACTGATTTGCCCGTAACGATTAGGTACGGAAACAGATATGAAAAGCTTCCGTTTTCTGTAACATGTTTGCACAGACATCTCGCGTGCACACTGATTATATTGTCATTACCTGAATCCTTGCTTAACCACCCAGAAATTTTTTTGTCCGGAATACATCAATGTTAAGAAATAGGTCCTTCCTTCAATTATGACATCGTTGTAAAAAAGGTCTGAATGCGTTCGTAATCTGCTCTTTATTTTGCTGATTTTTTCCTTTCTATTTTTTTGCGCGTATTATCCACTTAAGATACGTACGAATTTCAACAATTTACAGGAAAGGTAGTTGGAATTCACTCACAGATGTGCGCGTTAATATTGTACAATGATATTCAACTTTGACGCATAATTGTGATTTAGTTAAAACACAAAAATAATTGCGAAGATACAATTAGTTGTATGTGGCCGAAATCTTGATTGATGTACATTTCGAGGTCGAGTCATTACAATTTTTTCGTGCGAATTATTATGTTATAGTCTTTAAATATGCTAAAGGTTGTTATATTAGGAAATTAAAGTAAATTTTGCAGGACACGAAGTGGAAAATGCTGGAATTAATGCATGTCAGTGCTGGTACAGGCTCGCTGGTGACTCCGGACAGGAAATTATAACTGGCGGGAGCGGCTGCTGCGACGAGGTCTTTATTTCGGCCAGCACAGACGTAGGCTACGTTATTAACCTTTTTTTCTTTATTGACCTTTCTTTCTTTATTGACCTTTCTTTAATTTGAAGTAACACTCGCAAGAGTTAATGAGAGATGGAGGGACATGCAGGGATGCAAGGCTATTTTGTGGGGCCTATAACTCTTAATAGCTCTCCTGTTCTGTGATGTTTTTCATGTAAACCAGCTACGGCTGAGCGCGAGCATTACGAGATGGTCTGCTCAAAATTAAAACTATTGTGTCTGGGATTACGATAGCAGTATATACAGAATATACATAGCTCCTTTGAATTATTTGAATTTTAGAATTTGCCTTTTTTATATGAGAAATGTTTTTTATTGAAGCAAAATGAAAGAAAGGTTACAGTTTTTGTAGGCTTCGGCCCTGGCATTGCGTTGGCAGCGGCGCGCTCTCTCCGGACCATGCAAGATTATTCACTTTAGTCTATAGAAGGTAATATTCTCTGGGGTTTCTTTGTACGATTTATCATATGATTCTTTCTAACATCTTTACGCTAGTCGTACAGATTTTTGTTCTCTTCTAATCTCTCAAGTGTAGTGGATTTTTTTTCTTAAGATAAAGAAACAATGTTTCCCTACCTACGTTTTCGTAACTTAAAAATCGTTATGCTGAAAGAAGACGCCAATTTTCAGTTAGTTGATCGATCCTTAGACGAGATTCATCATTTGAATTATATATTCATATGTTCAGTTTCTGAATACATGCTCATGAAATGTATGATTTCTTTCTGTATCAAATCCCAGTACGCTTGCTTTTTTGTTATTTTATTTATTGACCGCACATATTGGTCAGTCTGATAATTAAATAAGAGGAGCATATTTCCTTTTACTGCTAGTCCCGTGCAGTGGCTAAATACTTGAATTTTGTTTGTGTCATTAAGACGAGAATTATATCTTGGGTAAACATATGAAAATATTAGCCATAAATGTTATCATGGTCTGGAGTGATGCAGCTCTCGAGTTCTCATCCTTGTTATCAGAGACGTGAAAGCTGCCGGCTCTCTCGTTGCGTTCCTTTTACACTCACCGATTATACAGACGTTATTATTTCAAAATTAATAACATGCCATAAATCTGAGGCATATATACGAGGCCACTTAATGGCGTTGGTATTAAGCATGATGTAACGCCATTGTTAATTAGGATTAACACTCCGGAATTAAACTTGGCTGCGTAAGCCTGATGACCAAGGCCAGCATCGGTATGTCGAGACCGAAACCTCAAGATCGCGATTCCATTACTTTTTGAATCATTGTTTCGGCTACCTAAATACGAGAAACCGGCGTTGCATTACATGTTTCTATGGGAGTGAAGATTGTAGCTTCGCTTTCCTGCTCAATGGAGTATCTACAATATGCATGCATTGTGGATAGTTGAGCCAACGCATGCATGATGAATAGCAGTTTTCAGCGAAACCATCAGTGCAATGATTTTAATTTGGAAGAATTACCATTTCCACAAGTTGCCTCATCTCTCATCACTCAAGCTTTATGGACGTGGAATAAGTATAGGCATTTTGTTCCCAGCGGCCATTAAACGAGGATCCCTTGAATATGATATTTTTAGTACATCGCCTATATAGAGACGTCCGTGAACCTTCATCGTTATTGAAATAAATTCAGCTCATGAACTTTCTGAACCACAAGGCATCAATTTAATAGTATTGATTCATGAAATAAACCCCAAGAAATGAGTTATTGCAGGTTGTCATAAACATTGATTAGCTTAATTGGTGACAATGTGATGTCCACCACTGAATTGTTCTCAGCGGCAGAAATCTCGGAAAATATTATGCAAAATGTAAAAATAAATCAATGAAATGCATAACATAAAGGGCTCCGAGGTTGGATCTGTGCAGCAGGTGAATTCTTCATTGATCTAAGGAGAGATCCTCTCAGATAACGATAAGATATCAGAGTGTTTACTGCCTCGTCTGCTTTATCGTGTAAGAAAATGCTACTAGTGGCTGACCACTGGCACGCAAACAATCTAATGCCTAGAAATCCAGTTAAATATGCTCGGGGGAAGCTATGAAATGAATCTGTAATTAGCCGATTATTGTAGTAAGTGTGATGCGAGGTTAAATTTGTTTCTGTTGTGGCAACTGATAACGAAATATTGCAGTACGTAAGTACGGGCAAATCTTCAAGAACATTATAGAGTAAAACTATAATGTCTCCATAGCAGATTATTTTGCTTAAAGTTTGATTTACAGTGAGCCTGAAATAAGTAACTAACTTCACCTTGATCGCTGCGAAATTAGTGCAAATCTACCACCATTATTTGATCGCATGAGAGCATAATTGAACTCATTTATACTCTTTTTCTCCTGACCCTTGATAAAAATTTGAAAATTTTCAGTTGACTTTCGTATTGCTGAGTGAACTAGATTCGATCGAACGAGGAGGAAACCTTGTTTTTATACCTATTTCATATTTTCCAAGGCGAGTAAACATGGCGAATATTCATATTCCTTAGTATCCCCTGTAAGAGTCACCGGTTAGATATTTCCTTGCAAGTGTGCAGCTGCTGTTATCGAGACGAGTGCGCGATATCGTGCACAGATAAGACTGGTCAACCCAAACGTCCATGAAGGTTCTAGTCATCTTCACGGTGCTTGTATAAAGAAGACAGTTGAATGAAGCCACGCATTAGTTCAACATTTTGGTTTATAGAGTAAATTAATAATGCAAACTTTATACTTTTTCATGACTCATGCTATATTCTGTTTAATATTTTGGCCAAGAATGATGTAGAACATTGGGTCAATGTACTGGATTTTGCTCATAGGAATGAAATTCTTGAAAAATTAAAGTCCACTTTAGTTATTCTGCGATTAGCTTGCACTAGTTACAAGTGCGTAGTACTATACTACAGGTGATGAGTGTAACTTCATCAAGCTCATTGCTCTTTGCTTTAATTTAAACATTCATTCATTGTTTTAGGAACAATAGTTCTTTTCGTACCTATTGTCGCTAATTTGTTAACTATATTGTATTTAGAATGAAAATTCCGGTGCACCTTTTTGTCACATTTAAATATGACCATTTAATTAACAAGTGCTGGATGGACTCAGAGATAATCAAGAATTTCAACGGAATTTTGCATGTACATAAAATAACAGCACATTGAGTGAACTTCAATTATCTGCGATTGCGTTCATATAAGCCAGATCACTATAGGATTTACAGCCATCATGGATAAAATCGGGTAAATGATTTTACAGCTTCCTTTTAAAAAATTACACTTATCGTGAGATCAATTATTGAATTTCAAATTGAATTTCGTTCTAAAATTTAAGACCAATATTTAAGACCTTAGACGGAGGCACAATTAAATGTCGTGACGAATAAAATTTGCACTGTCTTGTATAATAACCGAAGGTGACGCACATTTTGATCAAAACTCGGCAAGGTTTTAATTAAAACGCAAAAAAATGATCATTTCCGGTTCTTTGAATTACCATTCTAAAGAAAACCTTCGGAAACTCACTCTATGCTTTGGAGAGGGAGACAGTATGCAACGAACACATTGTATTTTGATTCATGCCTTTATGTATGCTTCCTCTTACAGCTTGGAAATTTTGTCTTCTGTACATTGTTTAATCTCATTTCCTTATTGCAGATCCAAAGAACGACGTCAGAGAAGACACTATCATGGACCGACCCAAGACTAAAGCTACGCCTCGACCGACAAGTACACCTGGTGGCTTAGGGGATAGCTTACAACGCGACACCAAACATGCGTTGTCGAACGGCTCGGCTACCGCTGTTCACAGTGCTACAGTAGACAGCAAACTTCTTAGAACGACTTCCTTGAAATCGATTGCATCATCCACCCCAGTTCGTCGCAGTACGCCCCCGCCCATACGGACATCTGCTACATTTCCAAGTTCGCATCTCCAGAAGTCCCCTCTAAAGGTGGTATGGAGAGAAAAGTCGAGATCTAATATCTTCAATTATTCTCCAGAAACTTGGAAAGTTTCGCACTCCTCGACAAAGCCCAAACGAGTGACACCACCTCCAGATGATTACACGCCCGAGAAAGATCCTTTATCTAGAAAACCTTCCTTCTCAGGTGATCGCGATGGTTTGATCTCACCAGTGCGATCGCTACTGGAGGAAAAGAAAAAGTGGGAAGATCCGATTTTAGAATCGATGAGACAACAGAGTGAATCCTCTGTTTCAAGCCATTTGCCCGATTCAGAGAAACAAAAATCGGTCCAAGACTTGAGGAGCAAATTTGAGTCGAGTATCCAACGTTCGTCACCGGTTCCAGCACCCGGGAAGCGCAGTGCTACACAGAGACTGCGACCTAAACGGCACACGGTGATTGGAGTCGAGCACCAAATGGGTGAAAATCATGCACAGAAGAATAGGTTAGAGATTCCTGAAGCGTCCCGAAATATCAGCTTGCTAGCAGACTCGGCGTACGGGGATTCAATTGAGACATACTGCCGCCCAACTGTACGGTCACTTATGAGAAAGTTCGAGAGTAGCCCCAAGTTATCGTCTTACAACTTTTCCGATTCCTGCTTTTCATCCGAGCAAAATAACAGTGCGTATCGTCCCGAGAAAGGAAGGATAAAATCATCATCTGGGAGACATTCAGAAGAAAATTTAATGGAATCTAACTCAATGGAACAAGATACTGAAGAACTGAACAAAGAAACTACGACAGAAATGCCCGAGTGTGCTATTAATTGCTCGCATTCTAGTTCTGTTGGTGTATCCCTCGTGACGCCAAGTCCTGTGACGAATAAAACTCGCGACACGATGACAGATTCGGATGAAGAAACTGAAATCGGCTTCCAAAGAGCGACAAATCGACGTTCGGTGAGAGAATTGAAGAAAAAATTTGAGGCGAACAAAGATGCTGAAAACCTGTCGTGGAAGAATAGTCCAAACGTCAAAGAAAAACCATCAGCTGATGCTAAAGTGTTCCCTAAAATGCAGTACGTTCTAGATGATTTTAAAAACTCCGATCATGGTTCTTCTAGCAGTACCCCAATTAAGACGGATCATACTGAAAGACTTATCCCTTCTGACATGAATATCAGTGATGTGCAGGTACCACTTAGTCCCACGAATAATTCCAGTCAGGAAGGTTTACATCAGGATTCTGCACTAGAAGACAGAGTTTTTAGCAGAGGTTCGCGGAGTAGATCTTCTGTCAAAGAATTGCGCCTTGCTTTCGAGAAGTGCAAACATCAACCTAACCATGATGTAAACAAGTCAGAGATCCCTGAAGTGGATGGAAATTCAATCGTGAAACCAGTGAAAAAATCCAGGAAGATATCAAGTGCTAACGTGAACCCTCCATTGCGGTCTCAAAAGGTCCAAATAATGAGGCAAAATTTCATGGAGAAAAGTTTGCATGACGAAGAACAGAATATCATTGAACGCAAGAAAATTAATATTTACGAGTCAGAAGATGCCAGCTCTATTCTCTCCCCTAAGGACATGGTAAAAATGATTGAGATTTTTGAGCATTCGCCAGTAAACGTCGAGGAAGAAGTTAAGCCAATGCCTGTTGTAAGTAAACTCGACATCTCTCAAATCAAGTACCAAATTGAATCCAGTGACGAAAAAGAGTCCATCAACGCTGTTGAGAAAAAGACTAAAGTTGGAAAGCTTGACGTTCAAAAATTGACGCCCAAGACGAACTCCGAAATGATCAAACCGCAGCCAAAAGTTAGCAAGCTGGATATCAACAGTTTCAAAGAAGCGCTTAGTAGCCATTATTCGGATGATTCCACTAGTTTCGCGGATAAAACAAAAATTGAACATAGTACATCGGACATCATGCAGTTGGTGAATAAATTTGCAAATCAAACCCCAAGTTACATGAGCGGTGCATCTCATAGCGAAGAAACAACATTTGACCCTGAAAGAGGGGAAAATGTTGAAGATGAGCAGGCGGATGTTATCAGAGTACCTACAGTCCCTCGTGTTGAAGTTAGTGTACCTGGCAAAGTAAGAGTTTTGAAGTCATCTGAAATGAAATTTTTCGATGTCAACAAGAGTACCGAACAAGACTTGATGGAAACTTTCAAAAACACGAAGAAACGCAAAGATTTGTTGAATCCGCCTTCGGCTATTCCACCAGCGATGCGCGAAGACCATAAAGGATTCGAGCGTAAGGGTTCTCTGATAGTGCCTAAAAACTGTCGCGAATTAAACGATGAAGAGAAAAAACAATTTTTCGGTCGAAACGCAGCTGAAATTTTCATCAAATCTACAGGAGTAAAACGTAGCACTTCTGATGTGTCGGATCTTACATCTCACAGGCCATCTCGTCATAACGAACAGGATTTTTGCAATAGGGGCAAAGGACTTGAGGATGTCATCGCAGGCAAACGAACTCTTCACCAGGTTTTTCAAGACAGGTATGATGATGGAGATACAAGTTGCCTAAGAGGAGATGAGACCTCAGGTGAGGAAAACAACGCTTCGTATGAAGATGAGGTTTCATATGAAATATATTCAAGCTCGGATTCAGAGATCGACATTCACGACAGGATCTCCAAGTCTTCATTGATAGCAATAAGTTCTCCTCATAAAGAAGATGCATCGCAATCTTTTGCCCCTCAATACCGACAAAATCAAAACGAATTACATGCTACAGGTCCATCGTCGCAGATTAATGAAATGGACAAACTATTTTTGCAGGAGGACGTGCATCGAGTTGAGTCGATCTCGGCTAGAGTTGATTCGAAAGCTCATATAGAGTCGATTCCAAAAAGCTCCCTGCTTTTGATGTCAGTAACATCAAAAAAAGATCCACCAAATGAAAAGTATGGCTTGGAGCAGAACGAAATTGGTTACTCGAAAATAAGTTTTGTAAACGTTAGAACTGAAAATCTATGCGGGCCCAAGGAAGACTCCATTCAAGTTGAGGACCCCTGCGGCAGAGACAGTACAGCGAGCGGTGAAAGACCCGCGGAATCTAAAGCTACACTGAACAATGACGATAATGCAACCAAGTCAGAGCCAGCTGCTGCTGTAACCAAGACAGAGCCAGCTGTTGCTGCAACCAAGCCAGAGCCAGCTGCTGCTGTAACCAAGCCAGAGCCAGCTGCTGATGCAACCAAGCCAGAGCCAGCTGCTGCTGCAGCAATCAAGCCCGAGCCAGCTGCTGCTGCTGCTGCAGCAATCAAGTCAGAGCCAGCTGCTGCTGCAGCAACCAAGCCAGAGCCAGCTGCTGCAGCAACCAAGCCAGAGCCAGCTGCTGCTGCAATCAAGCCAGAGCCAGCTGCTGCAACCAAGCCAGAGCCAGCTGCTGCTGCAACCAAGCCAGAGCAAGCTGCTGCTGCAACCAAGTCAGAGCCAGCTGCTGCTGCAACCAAGCCAGAGCCAGCTGCTGCTGCAACCAAGCCAGAGCCAGCTGCTGCTGCAACCAAGCCAGAGCCAGCTGCTGCTGCAATCAAGCCAGAGCAAGCTGGTGCAACCAAGCCAGAGCCAGCTGCAGAAACCAAGCCAGAGCCAGCGGATGCAACCAAGCCAGAGCCAGCTGCTGCCACCAAGCCAGAGCCAGCTGCTGCTGCAAGCAAGCCAGAGCCAGCTTCGTTCAAAAAGTATGTATCGAGTCAAGAAGATCACGTTCATCAGTGTTCCTCATCTATTGATTTTGATTCCAATAAATCCATCTCTGGAGATTCTAGCTTCAAATCAAATGGGCTTCGGTTTTCCGAGTCACCTTCGAACCCAACTCGCCATTCAGCCTCAGTTCTGGCCCAGCGTCTCGTGGAGAATTACATACCTGACGATCTGGTGCCAAATAACGAGGTCTCCATCGTAAGAATTACGTCGTTCGTAGTCTGGTTTGCAGCTCTGTTATACTTAATCTTGTACATCGAAGAGTATTTGGACGAGGACTAATCATGCGGACTAGATAAATGGACTTGCTTTTGAGAGTTTTTTTTTCAGGCTTATAAATCTTTAATACCAGTTAAACATTATGACTAAAGCTTTTTAGTATTCCGTGCTAATGTTGAGTAAGTATTCTGACTTATTTGCCTTGAAATGTATTCAATACAAGCGGAAAAAGTTCAATAGAAATGTTGATTTTTTTACTTCAATCATCGCTCATTCTCGCTCAATTCCTTTGACATTGTTATAGGCCCTTGTTTCTACATTAGGAGTCGTGAACAACCAAAATAGAGCGTCGAACCAGAAATGACGCCATTTTATGGATTGCATGGAGGTATCCTCCTTATTTACAAGTTGTTGTAGTCCAGAAGAGGTTCAGATCAAACCGACCATCACAGCGCTCTTCGCCGTACAGCGAAGGCAGTTTGTGGTGATAATTAGACCGATTTATTCCGGAGCTCTTTGTTGCGTCATGACACGCGAGAGTTGCAAATGACGCTATCATAAGAGACTTCCATTGTATCATATTTTAAAATAACCAATAATTTAAATACTCGTTGGGCAACATCTGGCACTAATCAAAGCGATTTTCGAGGTTTCCTCTTCTAAGAATTAGCAATTAACCTTAGATACCCATTTGTTTATAAATGCAATATTATCTTCAATTTAACCAAATATAATTATCTAACTCGTTCACATTTCATTTGATAATCGCATAACTTAATTCGCTTCCATGTTCGTTTGTTGTGCTATAGGTCGTAGCTCAGCTTGCTGCGTAGACGAGTGCTGATCAACAGTACAAATGCATTGAGATTTACGGTAAATGTTGAGGTTAAAATGTTTCAATTTGAGATTCAAAAACGTTCACGTGTTCGTGGCTCCGTGCATCTGCCTCTTGCATTCAAACGTTCGATATGTTGGTAAAATTGAGCTCAACTGAAAATTATTTAGTTTCAACATTGATGGAAATTCGACGCCATTTGTAAATTTGATCTGTACTTTGATGTGCAGTAACGATCACGGTTGCTGGCTTACGCTGTCATCTTTTACGGGATTCATTTCAATCTTTGCTCGCATTAGAAAAGATTTCTCAATGCATTTACATCTCATACTCCTGTGCAACTTTATTAACTATACCTTTGGTTCTTTATTTAAGGAAAAGTTGATGTTAAATGTACATAATTACTTTAAGCGGAATTCTTGTGTTGAGAAGGACGACTCAGACATATTTGGTTGAACGTACTAATTGAGTACTAATTGAATACTACCGCGAATACTAATTGAATTTATGTGCCATAAGCTGAGCTTGTCCCTAAATTTCTAGTTTTAGCATTAACAATATTATTGGCGGTGTAATGCCGCACGAATTTTGTACAGTAAATTAATATTCTATTTTCGATTTACATAGATTAACTAAATTGTATTGCATTCAAATTGTGATCGCTTCGACATTTTCTCTCCAGCGCTAGTGGAGGAACCTCGACTAGTGAAATCTGAGAAAAAATTTTAAATTGCAATTTTTATTCTTTCAGCAATTAGTTTGCACGAAATTGAGAGCAGCGTATAGAAGACTGTGCCGAGATGACGAATTCGTTTCACACGTTTGAACGCTCTTTACGCATCTTTAATGTATTTTTCGTATTTTTAATTTGAGAGAAAGCAAGAAAACATAAGTTGTCACTAGATGTAAGGATGTGTGATTTGAGACAATAGCAATTGTGAAACTTTTACCTTTGCCTGCTAAATTTCCCTGCCACCTGTGCTATGTGCGTGTCAAAGGAAATAGATTTTTTTGACTGAATTTTTCGATTCTCACAATTTCGCGTATATCTGGCCCGAAAATATCCAAGTTGAACCTTAACACTGGAAATAAACTAACTTGTGTAACTAAAGCCGGGAAATTGAGCGTGAAAAAAAATCGTTAGGTTTATCAAGCGAATTTTGAATTGAAAACGAGTGTGATGTAATTTAATGCCCTGCGATTTTTAATTGCATGGAATTTCTGCCGAGGGCTGCATGCCACTTGGCTTTCCATACCCGTATCGCACACCGCATAGATTTCTTCGCCACTTCCACTATAGTAGGAAGTGGTTAAAAAGTGCTGCGACATTAGGTTAATTAACATCTCGTTAATGGCTCTTAAATTATTTTTTTTTCAGAGGAAATGTCGAATATATGTAACATCCTGCGGCTGTTATAAATGAGCAGTGAATACCCCCATCATTCAGTTAGTTTAATTCGCATTCTTGCTGCCCGGTGTGCCATTTTTTATGGGTGTTACGACAAAGGAAAATAGTTTAGCTTTTAAGCGCGCATAGTTTTGTTCTGGTTCACACTCAATGCGATATAATAGTTTATCCTTGAAATATGATCTTACAGGCTAACATAGTTATATACGTAAAGAGCCTCTCAAATTTTAAGACTTGAAACGTTCCTTCGAAATTTCGGATTTTCTTAATCCCCGGCAGAGGACTGAATAAACGAATAAACTGGACCAGTACATGCTCATTGCGCACTAGCGCGTGAGTTGCAGCAGCGTGTGCACAACAATAAGGTCTGGAGGCGTGTCTAACTCAACGTGTTAAATGAAGACAAAAAATCTGCACTCGACCTGAGGCCATTCATTTCCCATCAGTGGCACCGAGATTTTACTCTCAACACCTCCACATAATGTGCGCTCTGCTGACTAGCGATCATCAGTTGCAAAGTGCGTTGCTTTAGAATAAAGGATAAATTCCACGGTAAATAACTCAACCAAATACTCGGAGCAGACTTAATGCCTCGAATGTCGATCGCATTATCAGGCCTTATCACCTGCATGGTATTGACATGTGGCGGTTCAGCATTTATGTTATATTCCAAGATTGACGTAGAAATTTGTAGCCTATCGATAAACACGAGTAGCAGATAGGATTAAAGACGATTATAATGAATATAATTAATAAACTTCTAGGTCTGCAAAGAACGGACTTTCCAGTATTAAAAAAATTCTGGTGTAACTCGTAACGGGTAAATTAATTACGTTATAATCTGACGGATAAATTACCCTAACGTAAAATTGGGCGCTAATACATTCGTCGGTGCTGCGCCGAATCTTAACCAAGTAACTAACGAGAAAGACGATCAACAAGCCTGGCAGACGCTGGAGCTTCCAGACGTACGTGGATGACTAAGAATTACAGACTAAAGTCATGAACATAAAAAGTTTAGCATAAAAAGCTCGATAGCATAAAAACTTCGATAGCATAAAAACTTTTGCGGAGGGTGATTAACGTTCTGTGTCGAGGAAAAAACATTGGAGTCTGAAGTTGAAGTTTTGGTTGGCTGCTTTCGACCGTGACATAAGTTTGGGAAAAATTTCAAACAAACTAAAACTGCGCGTTTGATAATAAGGCGCTCAAAACTTTGTTAGATGTTTGATGAGCGCCGCAAAAATTTGGTAATTCACTCCATTACCGCCAATGCGAAAAAACTAGATAAATTTATCTCTAAACGATATGTATTTGATGGGATGAAAAAATTTCCAGTGCATTCAGCAAGGAATATCCTGAGCAATAAATCTAAGATATGAACACGGTTTCGAGTGTTATTTTGCAACATGACTAATATCGTATAATTTTTGAGTAGAGATATTGGAATAAATTAACGCTGATGATACTTTCCTTTCATAACAATCGGCTTATTAATGAAGAATGCATTATAATTATACAGTGACTATATGCTGGAAACACGGCACGAGTATTGCGCCCATAACCTAACATAAACAAAGTACTCACCGACCGTGGAAGATAGTCTTCTTTGGCGTTCTTAAATCGTAAGCTTCTGCATCTCCATGCCCTGAGTGTGCGGTAACTGGGCGCGCTGCAGGACTTAGCGAAGGCCATGCGTCGAAGTCGGCAACGAGCGGACGCCAGGCCGCGTATGGGCGGCACCGTTTCAAAATCCACGAAATTTTTATCGACAACTGACACTTTGCCATCTTGTTGTGTTTGACAACGAAGCTGAGGAATCAACTTGGCGACGGTTGTGCAGGTCTTGCGGCAAGAATTATCAACGTTAAAATCTTGTCTGAATTTCTGGCAGGCATTAGAAACTATTTTGGCTTTATCTCTCTCTTTGATAGTAGGATCAGTTGTGTCGCTTTCTAAGGATGCCTGGGCTCCTGAGACTTGTGGCGTCGTCTCTTCTCCCATCAACTGCTGATCGAGGCCGACGACGTTGAGCGGGCCGTGAAAAATCGGAGTATTTGGTGGGATCGTTGATCTGGGAGTCTCAGGGAGAATTTCGCAGCTGATGATTGGAGAATTTTCGTCCTGACTCCTACGCCGGTCGCCCGAATTTTGAGATGCCTGCGAAGAGAATCGGAAACACCGTTTTTTGTTGCGTGGAGCTGAGCCGAAGATGAGCAAAGTGCTGGGCACTTCGTCCTTCCTTACGACACCTTTCATGTCGGAGATCGGAGCAGCGGCAGGAATGACTGTCTCTTGATGAGAGATCATTTTCTCTGCCGTCCTCGATAAATTTGAAGTCGTGGTCGGCGATCGGCTTTTTCTCAAAGCAATTGCCAAGTATTCACTCGTGTTTATTTTTACGGTGTTATTTATTAAGGTGGATTCGGTTGTATCCAAAACTTCGTTTTCTTCTTTAATGACGACTCCTCCATTGCGATTCTTGTTTGGAGGAACGGACATTGCTGTTTCATTATTGTTAACAGAGACACTTGAAATACCATCCTGGCAAATGTTTGCATAACTTATTTGATTTTGGTTGTGATTGTGATCAGTTTTCTGGAAAGATCTTTCGTCATAAGGGAGATCGTCACCGGACATCTCGGTCTTCACACTTTTTTTGCTTTCGCTTACAAGAAAAAAAAAGTTTACTGTTGTTCTCACTTTCGCAACTACTAACACACTGCTGCTAGCCTGTTGGAAGAAAGAGATACCATTAATGAAAATGATGAAAAGGTTTATAAAGAATGATATATTATTGAAAAATATAATTGTCGTTAA